TTTTTTTTTTTTTTATACTTCACTGCACAACACCGTGTCTTTTGTCCCTACTTTGTCTGCAAGAACATGAAAGAGCAGATTGATGGGTTTGTCTGTGATAAACCCATCTCTGATTGCAGAGCCTGTCTTCTAACTCATGGTAATACAATAACCACTAGTTGTACTCTTACGTAATGAAAGACAGCCTGACACCTAGACTCGTGGAGCTGTAAATCAGCCTCTTCCAAGATCTCAGCAGAAGTAAAAAAAAAAAAATAAGAAACAGTTGAAGGCATGAATATAATAAATGTTGTGTTTCAGTAGCAGGAGCATCACTCCACAGTAGCCTCCTGTCCATCTCTACAGAGAGTGATTTGCTCTGTGCTTGACTCTAACCATCCAGTGCAGTACTTGGAGAGTCAGTTCTCCATTCCACGTGTTGGAGAGACCTTTGGTTCAGAGGTTTCAATTTGCAGATGTCATTGCCAAATAACATTTAATAGAGAAGGATAAGTCTTCCAACTGAAACCATTAGTGATGGCTCACTGAGATTCAAGTAGAAAAAAACAAAATTAATGCTTTCATGTCATTGCTGTCGCCTGTTTTATTTTAAATGTGCTCCTCTGTATCTAACAAGCCTAACATTGATTTCCCAAGGTGAACATTCAAAGCTACCTTGCTCCCAGTTATCTCATTTACTGATGAGTGTGTTTCTCTTGTAAGGGCTGTCATGTAGTTGCAAGGGCTGGGCAGTGCAGGGTGATAGACCAATTTAAGGCCATGATGACCATCCTGATCCATTCAGGAAATACCTCAGCACCTGGAGGGGACATTCCAAGAAAACCATTGTCAGATGATAATGGGTTACACAAAAAGGGACAAAGAGACCCTGCTGGCTTCCTGAAAATCCTCAACAAAATGGGGAGACTTCCCAGCAACAGACTGATAGGATCAACAAAGGATGAAGTGCTATGGAAATAGTATGGCCTTTCTTTGCAACACCCTGTGGGAAAACAGGGAACCCACCCTTAGGCCTACATCATCTGTCTATCACTACAAAAATTATTATTGACTATAGTCACTCACACTGCCTAAGAAAACAGGTATAAAAAGATACTGGACATGAGCAAAATCAGGGAGAAGTTCCACCATCTCTGCGGGGGTAACTAACAAAGTGCTCTGTCTCCTTCCACTCCTTCGGACACTGTAGGGGTGAGCAACCATTTACTCTGCTTTCTTTACCTTGACCTTGCCTTATACCTTATAGATTACCGTCTTTACCTTTACCCCATAGATACCTTATTTACTAATTTTACTTTGCTACTTTGCTTTACAGATACTAATTTTACCTTGCCCTACACTTTGTAACTTACTGGGTATATATCTTACTTTATATTCTTTTTTCTTTTTTGCTTTGTGTTAACGAGTGTGTTTAGATTTTGCTTTAGTCTTTGTAAATTGGCCTGTCGTGGAGGGGGAGTCGCTTGAGTTTTGTATTAAGGCTTAGGTAGTTGTGTTGTTTTGTACAGCGTGCTTCTGGTTCTTGGGTTTTTTTATTAGTTAAGTGCAATCGTGCAGTTAAACGTTATCACCAGCGATGCAAACTCTACAGTAGTTTGTCACACAGTTGTATTAATAAAAGTTATTTCGTGAGCTGTTGGAGTTAGTCCAGTTTGTTTCTGGTGCTGGCAGCCTCATAACTTGTAGGAGAAGGTTGCTGGGAAAGTTCTCCATTGCTATTAAGTACCATCCCCATGTCAGGGTATCAAATGTCCTATCCATCCCAGTGAATCTGTCTAGCGAAGGGTCTCTTTAGGTGAGGCATGGACAGACTGTTTTGGGCTTTAAAAGGCTTTGATATTCTGGGGACACTAATAGCCAATAAAAAATATATTAATACAGGTGGGACAAGAAATCTTTACATTTCTGCCCCTTTTCACATGACACGCATGCTGTCATGGCCCTGACAAACCAGATTACAATTCCTTTTCCATTAACCTCTAGAAAAATTTTATTCACTTATAACTTTGATAGTACTTTTGCACCATTTCTACCACTAATAAGTTGTTGATTGTAACCATTACTTCACCGACACTAACAAACAATAAAATTCAAAGAAAATTTGAGATGCTGCAGTTCCCTGTACCAGCTGGAAGCTCATCTTCACCTCATTTTCACATGCATTTCTGGCAACATCTGATTTTTTTAATTTAGACATGCCCTCCATTGTTTTGCAATGCAAATACAGAGATGTCCCACATCCTTACAGTAAATTATCAGCAGCTAAACATTGTGGTTATGAATAATTCCAGCTTGCCCTTGCCCTGATATTTCTCATTTCTGGGCAGGTCAGCCCTGAAAGCTCAGCAGTGAGTTTAGAAATGCCAATGTCCTGAACAAAACTCAGGCTTTACAGAATCACTGCTGCAGCTCAGCACTGAAAATTACTAATTCCCTTTGACCTATTGTTCTAATCTCGATAGTCAAGGAATTTGTTGGTGTTTTCCATGTTATCACAAATCAGTTGGAATAATTTTGAAGGGGATTTTGGTGGGGGCAAGCACAGACCAGGAGCATCCAGGCTGGGATTCCCAGGTTCGCTGTGCACTGTGTAACCTCTACTCTGCACTGTGAAGGATTATGTTTTTCAGCTCTTTTACTGAGAGTGAACCCAGACCAGCCCACAGCACTGTTTCACTGCTGTTAAGAATAATTTCACCATGTCTAACTTCCACCACAACCAACCTTTTAAAAATCCTTCAATGGAAGATGACAGGTATGTGGTACTTCCTCCACATGGAACAAATTTGCCTTTATAAATTCACTCATATGTATTGATAAACAACCTCTGTCCTCTTTGCAAGTGACATTGTATTCTCTTTTGGTGGTTTTTTAACCACACATAGCTGAGGCTTTCTAGTCAAAGCTTATGGCCCCAAAAGAGAGGGATTGAGGAGGGAGTGCAAGATTTGGGGGCAATTTTCTCCTAAGACATGACTCATTTCTCTAGCATCCTGGACTGATGGGTAAAAGGAGCATCAGTTGGTGAGGTTGGCCACATAGTGTAGTGAATTTGGTAGGTCCTTACCACCTGTGATTTCTCGTTAATGTATTAAAATGTAAAATTGCAATTCATTGGAAATGAAGTGTTTAAACACTTGCCATATACTAACTCATGGGATGGGGGGGGGGGGCAAACTTTCTTGCAAGAAATGGGAAAACATTGAAGTTAAATAATTTAAAACGCTGACAGTTTAATAAAACAATAATCGTTCAACTCTACATAAATCTGGGAAATATTTCTTATTCAGGTTTTACGGATGGAAAATAAATATTCCTTTAGAGCCATTAGGGTGTATCCTTCTAAGACCTGCTGCTGCTGGGTCCCTGCATTACACCCATCTCACATGAGCAGAGGAGGCAAGAGGCACGCCCTTGCCTCTGTTCTTCAGCAGATACCAGTTAAAAGAACATTCCTGGGGATGGGTGGGAGTGCAGTACATGGGTGTCCTCAGATTCAGTGCCCTGCATAACCACAGTTTCCACTTGTAGGTATTACCTTATATAAAGGTATTTTGAGCCCTTTATTTCCTCTGAAATCACTTGTGTTCTGTAGTGACCAAGTGCAAAGAGTGGAAATGTAACAGCCCCCCAAAGCCCGCTGCAACCAATCTGATAGTCATGACAGGAGAGGAAACAAGGGGGAGAATCCCTGCCCTCGACCTGCTGCCCATGATTCTTTTCATGCTGCCCAGTATATGGTTGACCTTCTGCAATGCTTCTCTTTTTACAGTCACCAGGGACTTCACCCAACTGCCAAGATTTTTCTAATATCATGGAGAGTGGCTCGGCAACTACATCAGCCAATTCCCTCGGGACTCTGGGACGCATCTCATCAGGTTCTGTAGACTTAGGTCTGTTCAGGTTCCTCAGGCAGCATATCCTGTCTTGAGTGCTACAATGCATGTCTTTGTAGTTACGGAGACAAATTGTCCATGATGTGGAGGCCAGGCATCAGCGGATTTGTCTCAAACATTCTGACTGTTATGATAGGATAGTTGTGATTAGGACAGAGGTCCTGTGGAGGTGGGGCAGTGCTGTGCTGAGCCAACTTCCTGCTCTTCCTGGAGACTCCGCTCAGTCCCCCCACCTCAACTGACTCCCTGGAGAAAGGCTAAAAGGGCTGGCTGTGCAGATGTGAACAAAACAGCATGAAAAATATCATTTACGTAAGAGTCTGCACCAGGTTAACTATGAAAGGGAGCCGATCAGGCCCCCTTGCTCTCTTTTTTCCCTCCTCTCTTTCTCTTTCACTCTCATTGTTTAGCCCAGCTCCGGACAAATCCACACAGCAAAACCAGTGTGAGATCTAAGGACTACTGTTATTCTCTGTTCTCCCTCTCTCTTCTCTGCCTTTATTTCTCTCCTCCCTTGCTCTGCCTAGGCAAATCACAACTCTCATGTTCTACTCCACACTTTGTACCGAAGTTTGTTGTGGGAGTGGGGAGCTTGTGCCACAAGCTTGTGTTCTGTGGCTTGTGAGCCAGCCCCTTTGAGAAGTTTCTTGTGAGGAGCTGAGAGTTTATTGAAGTGTACTGTACAAAATTAAGGGCTTGTTAGCCAACACCTTTTGAGTCCGAAAAAAGTGGGCTGGTTGTGGAGTTAAGGCGACACGTACAATAAAAGCACAAGAGCTCCCTGACACTTGTCTGTTGTCTTTGTTCAGCCTGACTTTGTGATGTGAATTTGTGATGAACATCACTCACCATACTGATGGGGTGGGACACCTTCCCACAGCAGCAGGGGGTGGACTGGATGAGCCTTAACGGTCCCTTCCAGCCCAAAGTTTTATATGGTTCTGTGATTTTATGAACTAGAAATGTGCATAGAAAGTGGAAAGAATGAGTCCTAATGTAGCAAGTCACAAGTTTCTGTTCACACTCCTAAATCTTTCTGTCACTGGGTATCTGTCAAAAGGCCTCGATCCAAAGGGGGGAAGAACGACACACAAGACACACGAGGATGGTGAGACAAAGAGATGTCTGCCTGCTCAGTGCAGCAGGCAGCTTTTTATTCAGTTCTCCCATTTCTACTTTCCCACACACACAACGCAAACATATTCCCAGAAAAACACCGAGGAATGCCGCACCTGCACTTCAGCCACACAGCTCAAGGCTGTGTCCATGGGAGCTATCTAATTAGCTCCACTGCTCCCATGGAAAACGGCCCAACACTTTGTAACATTCCAAACCCCTCAGACTTCAGTTGTGGGGCTGTGACTTCACCCCACATCTTTCTTCCCACTTTCCATCCTTTGTTTCTGCTTCCACTGTTCTCCACCTTCTCCACAAAGAAAAAAGTCACACTGTAATTGTGTCATAGAGGAAACGCAATGAAGATTTAAAGCCTGCACATGATGGACAAGTTTTCTTCAGTTTAACTGTGAAAAGAGACATGTACAGTAATATAAAAATATGCATTTCAAGATCATGCAGTACACATACTATCATGTGTTAAGATATAGATTTCTCACATAAAATGTATACCAGTGTATGGAAGGATGGGAACCTTGTGTGCTCTTTGTCCTGGAGTTCCTTAAGGACATAAGGGTTCTTCCTCAAGGCTTAATGTAGTGGTGCCCTTGGCATTTATGCGCTTGCCTGCCAGTGCCACAGATTTAGCGAATCTTTCACTCATAATGAAACCATGCCTCTTCATGGGAGCTGGCAGACATAAACCTACTCAGTAAGTGTGCAGGGCAGACCAAAAGGAAAAAATGAAATATTAAAAAGCAATTCAGAAATGTTGTCCCTGTGAAATTTACAAAAGACAACCTGCTAAGCTGAGCTGCATTCATATACCACTTGAACATGGAGACACATTTGACTCTCCATCCCAGGCATCCTAATTTATCTGAAACAAAGCACTTAATCTTTCCTTGTTCTCAATTTCCCTGCCAAAACATGGGAGACAAGAAGGATTAAGTAAGTGTATTGAGCTCAGCTATCATCTGCCTCAACAGTCTTGTCTTTGTTTCCCTTATCCTTGAAGAAAATGTTCTTAATTCAGGAAAAAAAATACTGTATCCCTGGAACAATAGTTCACTCATTTTTTCTGTTTTCCAGATGTCTTTTTAGGTTTATTGTGTGGAGACTGAGAGCTGTGCATGTGCATGCAAGGTGTTATCAGAAAGCTTTACAAAAATTATTTTTACTAATTGTGCTATTTGAAAGAATGAAAATTTGTCTATGCAGGCATATCCTTTTTTCCCTCCATCCCTCCTACTCATTTGACATTTTGTAAAAATGTTTTTGCAGTTACCCAGGATTGAAGATTTTATACAGCACAGCTGCTAAATATCAAGGAGCATGTGAAGTCACCCTGATAAAATGAGGATAGTGCTGCAAAGGTTACAACAGAATATCTTGGAAAGTAATAAAGCCTCTAATTATCAACCTCTCCCAAAATGCATTATTAAAGTTTTCTTCCAGTATTTTGTATTTGTACCAACTCACCAAGGAAAATGTTTATCCTGTTTATCCCTCCTGGTGGCTAATTTTGAAACGTATAACTTAGCAGATTCTGCCTCAAATGACAAACTAAATTAAGACTCTGACTCAGGAAAACAAATTTGCATACGTTTAATACCATGGAAAAGAGGAAACTGTTTACTCTTGTGGGTCCAACTGAGTGGATGGAGTTAAGAGAATAAATTACTTTTTCTTCTTAGCTGAAGTTCTTTAATTTGCAATAGCTTGAAATTCTGGTTTAGAAGCTCCTGAAGGTGAAAAAGTTCAGGACATTTTTTTTTTTCAAACCAAAGTAGCCTGCCCAACTGTTAGTAGAACAAAAGCAAATTAAGTGTGTTTTCCCTTGCCTATCATTTAGCAATTTTTACCAGAGTTTACATTTGCACTCAATTTTGATAGCATCCTTTGAGTATCTATTATTAAACATCACGGAGTTTAGAGAATCCCATGACTGAAGTTGGTGATACATTCCAGGCCATCAGGATAACAGATGTTGTAATTGCACACATGTGTTGTAATAGGAGACAGAGGGAGAGAAGAATTGAGATGATCTAGTTATGCTCTTTTTATATACTTCTTTATATTGAAATGTTGTATTTTTTTCCTTTTTTAATTACTTGAATCACTTTTCTCTCCACTATCACAGGTCTCTTAGGCACTACAACATTAAGCTGAAGTTTGATGGTGGCTAAACAGAGAAACTGAAATGTTGTCCCAAAGATGATAGTAAAGACACTTAAAAAAATAATCTTATTTTCACTGTGTGGCAGTGAAATTTATACCAAAGCCTTTTAATAAAACCTCTGTTGATTCAAAGCAGTCAACAAGGACTATTAACAAAGTGAGTCAGAGGGGAAATGAATTGCAGAAATGATGAGGGAGGGAAAGAAAAGAACATGGTAGTTACAAATGTGGAAATTCCATTCATCTGCAGCTAAGCAAACTTATAATATTTAGAGATTTGACATGAATACATGGAAGAAGAATTCAACCTCTCCTGTTAACAACCTCACTGCCTTTCATGTTGCTGCCCAAATTTGCTTCCAATTTTTTCACACCATGTCTTTTCTGCATCAGTTTCTAACAGCCCAAGTAAACCTATGAGTATTAACAGGGGCAAATGTGACCTCATCTGTCTATCCTCAGACTGCTCAGTCTAATAGGCAAAGCAGCCACATGCAAATATCAGAAAGAAAATTGTAGTCCGATTCTTTCTAACTCCCAAAAGAGCTATGTCACCTGAATCAAAATCTCTTCCAAAAAAGCACAAACGCTCTCTGCAGAAAGGGTTTTCATGTTTGTCTGAAAAACAGATTATCAAGGCAGGAACAGGTAGGTGGCTGCTGGTAATTATTGATGTGTAGCAAATAAGAGGGACAACACACCAGGATCAGCTTTAAAGAATGCAGTTTCTTGGCAACTGAGTGTGAAAAGAAGTTAGTGGAGAAAAATGGCACAACAGAAGCGCAAAGGACTGCAAAGCAGTGGAGAACAGTATAAGCGACAACAGAAGCAACAAAAACAACAAAATAAGGATATGTTGGGGACAGCTGTGAGTAGTAGAAGTGGTTCAGAGTAGCAAGTGTGTGGCAGCTGGTGTGTGCTGTAAACTTCTTTCTTAGCAACATCAGTGGTACCACTGTTTTATTCTGTGGGTTGACAAAAAGACTGAGTCATAATTCTCACTGCCATTCTGGGGTAGAGATTAACAAAGTCCTTAAAACACTGCCACTATGAGTGAAATACTAAAATTAATTTGCTCCCCTTGCATTCATACCTCTTTGAAGCTTTTTCATGGCAGTGAGAGTGCAAAGGCACCTATGGGTCTTCCTAGGACCCTAAGGTTGACTCTAAAGTCTTGATTACCATGATAGAGAATATCATCAATATTAGTCCATCTTATTCTCTTGGGTCTTACACAACTACTGGAAGGATCAGGCTCTCACAAAGAAGAGCCTCCATTTTCTGCATGACCATCAAACCTACCCAGCACTGTACACATTCAGATGTTTTTTAGATTAATTCAACCACTGTCAGCATTAATCATAATTTATTGAAAAGTGTCATGTGGCCAAGGGAAACAGTGAGAGTAAACCAATGAATTACAGCCTGATAACTAGGCCTTTCAGGGTGTTTCTCTGCAAATGACAAATCCAGTATTAGTCTACAAAATCTCATCTAGGAGCCTAGGGGCTTTCCCCACCAGGAAATATTTTGGAGGTGTAAATCAGGAGGCCACAGTTTGTAGTTTTGCCCTCTTACTATCTGATATTAATAACAATGTGTATCTCACAGCTCTGACTACTCATATTGGGTCCCTTTCCTTGGAGCAGGTAGGAGACCATTTCTGATATAGATTGTCCCAGGAGCTTGGTCTGATTTGTAAATCACTGATATTTTAGCTTTCCCTCAATAGAGGTGGTGGTGTGTTCCTAAACCCACCATGGCTCTGTGTTTACTTATTTCACTGTTGTTAAAGTGATAATGTTTTTTCTCCCCCAGAGGGCAGCTGCAAATAAGCTTCAGTGTAAGTGGACCAAAGAATCAGCTGCAGTGACACAAAATCCCTCTCCTTGGGGCAAGAAACTGGTATTGGAAATCCTACTGCAGGAATCAGCAGGGGTCAGGGACTGCCACAATTCTCTGAGATGAAGGTAAGGGAGAACGATCGAAGAATGATGATCTGGGCATAGTAACCAAAAGTCCAGACAATCTCTGTTCCTGGAAAAGCTTGTCATTTAAAGAGCATAATTTTTTAAAAATAGTTTTAAAACTATTACTCAGCACTTTTTTATCAAGTTAATTTCATCATCAGTTGAACAAAAATGATAAAATAAATAGAAAATCTTGGTCTGTTTTCACTTATTTTGGTTCCTTATCAGTTTTAAACCGGAAGTATTTTCGCACTAGTTTCATTGCACAGGTCTCCAATATAGAGATTGTTAGTGTTAGTCCTGGTTTGCTGCTTCAAGACATTTTATTGCCCATTATTTCTCTTCACTAATCATTAATCCCTACTTTACAAAACTTAAACAAGAAATTACCTCAAAGAACCTTTAATCTTCATTTGAATGGTGTTATTTCAAAGCTCAGTTTGATCACCTGGCATCAAGTGGGATCACCTGGGCAAGTGTTCTTGCCTTCCACATGGGGAGAATCTTAAAGAAGCAGCAATTCCATTAGACCAAACAAGAACAATTAATACACTTGTCAGGCTTCCGTGAAGGTTTTCCTGTAGAAATTCATGAGCAGTGCTATCCTGGAGTATTTTAAGGATTTTCTTCTGAAGTGTTGCTTTTGACACTTAAGTCTTCCAGATTCTGCCTTCTGAAAAGGGTACTCTCTCATAAAGCCAGATTTCTCTTAGTCTGTCCCTCCAGCACCCAGTTTAAAGACTGGGATATAGTGAATAGCCACAAGAAATGCAGAATTGGACTATTCATATCTAATCAGGCTGTCACTGTAAACAAGTTTTCCTTGCCTATTATCTTGTCTGTTTCACCCTTTTTCTCTCTCTTTCACCAATTCTATTATCTCATGAAAGATCTAAATGTTGGAGCTTTCAGAGATCTTCATGGCACATCCCCTACTCGGTTTGGAACCCACCCTGTTATCCTGTCAGTCTGTGGCTGTAGCCTCCTTTGCCTCCAGTGAAGCCCTTTTGCGCCTCCAGGCATGAAATTCTTGGTGCCTCTCTGAGACAAAAAAGCCACATCATTGTTTTCTTCCAATACCTCCTTAAAACTCTTCATTTGTGGTGACAGAAAAACATATCAGGCTTTTGAAAACTTCTTTCTTGAAATTCTAAGACCATATTTTAGAGGCCAGGACACTTTGTTATCTGTCACTTTGTAGGTATGTGTTCACCACTTATACTCATCATCTAATCAGTTCATTCTTGTCCTAGCTGTAACTACATGTCTTTTAAGTGATGATGGCAACGCTTCTATCTTTTTTTTCCCCCCACAACATGTGATGCGCTGGAGCCTTTTACAGAACACAAATAATAGTAACAATCTGGCACATACATATATAGCTTTTTCAGAGGCTTGTAAGTAATATTTTCCCAGGTAAACCAAAAGTCAGATCTGTAATCTGGACACTCTCAGCTTTGTTTTAATTTCTGGATTTTATTTGTTTCTTTAGGTTTTTTTTAATTGTATTGGAAATATACAGGGTTTGGAGAAACCTTTTGTTTCAGTTATAGTCTGTAATTGTTTTTGCATATTATCACACAGATGTGTATGAGTTTACAGCAAAGGAAATAAATATGAGTGTGACATATAACATCCTGTTCAAGTTTGCAAAACTTGTATACACAGGTAACAATCTCTCCCTCCTTCCACCTTTCTTGTAAGTCCATTTTAATACAGAAAGGTTGCAATAAGGTCTCCATATAAGTAGCGTAATGATCGCTGTAAGAGGTCATGAGTCTTTGACATATCCTTGTGATCTTTTTCTCATCAGAGATGAGGGGTGTTAAAAAAGCACTGATCACATGTGTGCTGTTGGAAACTTCTGTGTGTGCAAACTTCCTTTTCCTGCAATCCAGATTTATGATTTACCTATTCATACCTTACCACTGTTAATTCTTGCAAGATTTCTTAATGAAAAAAAGTATCCTTTTTTTTTTAAATTTTGAATAGTTTGGTATATCTCTACCTCTCTGTAGATTTTCGTTTCTGGTTAAATATTGTTCTGTTTGGGCTTGGGTTTGTTGGTTGTTTTGGTTTTTTTCCCCCCTTTAATTTCAGCAACTGTTTGAAAAATATGCTTTTTTCATGACATGGTACAAACCTGCAACAGTTGATATAAAGTCTTGTGATTCATTTTTAAGAGGAAAGTACATTATTCTTGTGTGAAATGGAACTTTTAACTCACTCATCCTTTTTCCAAGATGCACGACACATTGGCCTTTCTTTCCCACTGCCTTTATACTTGTCATATACTACCAAGTAGGAGTAGGAAGAATTGGGACAGAGTTTTATTACACTGCAGCACTCACATAACCTCATTCTGTTCATGTGCATCATGGCAGAGAATGCTGAGTCTTTGGGCATTTTTTAAGGTCATTGTGTCTCTGTAACTCATCCTTTAGCCCTCGGGCTTGAGAGGAACCTTGATGTATCCTGCTTGTATTTTATCCATAGACAGCCTCTGGAAAACAATGGTCCAGCACTCTAGCAAGGTTTTGATGCCCAAGAAGTGCTTTCTTTCTTGGTGGTGTGACTGAGTCTTCCAGCTGGTGCTCTGTCCTTAGCACGAAGTGTGAAAAAATAGCCGAAGTTCTTATTGGAAAGTGCTGGTGTTCAAAAAAGAAAACATTTTGCACATAAATGAAACTAGTAAGGATTCTGGGTAAAAGCAAACATCTTCTTTTCTATACTGCAATTGTTACCATGGAGCTGAAAATCAATTGCTGTGTCTAAAGTAGAAAATTCAATGTACTTGGAAACACCTTTGCCCATTGACATGAACAAGCACACAAGAGACAAAGGCTGATCATCACGAGCTCTCTTTGTTTCCAGAACAAGATGGTTTAAAGCAAATTGCAAGTTAGGAAAGGTCTGGAGTTTTCTTGCTGCCGTGTCATGCCCAGCAATTACAGAGTTACCTGATGGTCAGCAGAGGCCAAAGCTGTGCCAGGGACTGACCTAATGAATTGTTGGTATAGCCAACTGTTTTTCTGTGTCTAGGAATGGTCCCAGGCAGCAACGAGTGCACTAATGAGGATGTAAATTTAGTTTTCAAACCGATGTTCACCACATTAAAAGCCTTAGATGTTCTTTATGATAAATGATCTGACTTGTAGTCATAGACGTAATGCACACATACATCTAGTTTTTTCTACTGAAAACATTAAACATACTATACAAATTCCATTATTCAGGTTTACCTTTTCAGTGTCACATCAGGAACTTTTCAGTGTCACATCAATGGAAAAAGTTAGCAAGAGAGATGAAAGTGTCTCCCTTTTGTCCTATATATCAAGAGCTGGATTCCTACTTTAGACTAATTTGATTGTTGAGACAGTCTGTTTCTTCCTACTTCACATTTGAGATGACAATTAGTTTAATTGCTTTAAGACTCACTTTGCATACACAATAATTGAGGTAGTCTCTCAAAACAAATTGAATTGCTTGAGAACCTCAGTTTCCAAGTCTTTAAAAAGGCTCATGGCAAGCAGGATCATTACAGACTGCATCTGTGCTGGGGGAGAGAGATTTTGGTTCACCTTGCAGACCCTGCATCTGGATCTTCATGGGGCTGCATGTTTCCCTGAGTCCCAGGATTCTTCCCCACATACTCTGATCTCCTGGTTTTTCACAGGGAAATCCACTGCCAGGGATAACAGGGAAATCTTCTGGTACACAGGGGGAGATGACCAGAATTATATGACTGGCTTTGTAGTGCACCATTTCTGCAGTTTACCTCCACTGCAAAGGTTTCTCAGACAAATCACTGTAACATAGCAACATCCATCCACTACTTTTCTGTTTCAGTCTCCTGTTTTTCTTACTAAATGTCTGAATTCTCTAATGAAAAAAGTGTGTGGCATTTAGAAGCTGTGGGACCTCTAGTCTTCTGAAAGAATGTAGCTGAGTTTTATAGATATTACTCCAAAATCCTGAAATGTTTAGCACTATTGCTATCCCTTCTGGCTTCCCTTGAACAGCCTTTCAGAAACCCATAAGTGGATCACAGTGATTTCTTCTGTTGGGTGGTTCAGGAAATTTGCAGAAAAGCTGGGGGGAGGGGATTCATATGAAATTTGCCATAGTGTTTCACGACAATATCTGAGGGTGTTGGCATACTGTGCATATTCAAGGACTGCCTAGAGATCAGCTGTGTCAGCTCTTGTCCTCACCTCTACTCTGTGCTGGGCTCCATCAGTCTGCATTGCAGACTGAGGTGTTCAGACTTTGTCTGAAGTTCACTGAAGCAAGTGTGGCTAACTGCACAGGGGAACTCTCCAGACAGAAACCTCTTGTAGTCTCTGGTTTTCTTAACCTTAACTTCACTATGTCTTAGTTTTTATGCTGCTCTGATTGAATATTGGTGCTGGGTGACATCCTAACAGGATATATTTTAACATGGACATTCAGTTGCCTGTGGGCCTGTATGTAAATATTCCCTGAAGGCACTGGATAGATGTTCATGGTCTGTGCAGTGCCCTCTGAGGTACAAGATGGATTGGGCTGACAGAAGAGCTGTGTCTCAGTTCATGTCTTTGTGGCTACAATGGACACAGAATCATACCAAATGATCCTACAACTGTGCCAGAACTCCTCCAAAGCCATAAATACAAATATACAGACAGCTATAAAACTATAGATATACAAATATAGAGATATTTGGGGTGGTTGTATAGGTGAATATGTATATGAATGCATATATACAAGTGCACGTCCACAGTATTACTTAAGGCAGCTTTCTGCGTATCCTCTTTCCACTAGAAAGTAAAAATATAACATCCCGAGCTTGTCTCTGCTTCTGACTCTATGCATGTTAATAGCTGAGAGAATCAAAAACTAGATATTGCCTGCAAGATAGTGATGACCTATCCTATACTTATTTATCTTCTGTCTGTTAAAGAGCCCCTATGAAAACAAGCTGACTTCATAAAGATTGGCAGGATTTTCACAGAATATATAGGAACTTCACAGTTGATGGCAAAAATAACAAAAAATATGTTTTCCTGGAGATAATGACATGATGTCTCAGCTTAGTTTATAGCATAAGTTACAACTCTTCATGTTTGAATGGAATAAATTTGAGAAAATTTGGCTTGTCATGATAATTTTTAACCTAATCTCTAATGATTTTTTTTTAATTTAGGTTGCTCAGTTATCTTACAGAGAAAAGATAAGCACTCACAGGTAGCTACAGCTACTTCTAGAACCAGCTCAAGAATGTCCTTCCTGCTGGTACCCTAGAAATAACATAATTATTTTAACTAATAGTCTTGCTGTGAGTTGTCTGATATCACCTTTGCCTTTTCAAACTTGGAGTGACCCACTGCTTTTTATTTTAGATTAAATCCCATGGATATCATGGGCCTTACAATGGGAAGCAGAAAGTCTGGTCAGGTGTCTGTAATAACATGAATCATTTGACTCTATTGCAAGACTCTGCAAGAATTCTGTGGGAAAATTCTCCTGGGTAAAATAGGGCATTTGCAGAAAATAGAATAAAGGGGAAGAGAAAAAATAACTCTGAAAGAAAAAGCTAATAATAAAAAATATTAGGGTTTTTTCCAGTTATACATAAACTTAACTTTTTAAGTGCATACTAAATTAGCTTCTATTAACACAATTTCTGGCCTTCAGAGAAACTTGGATTTGAGTGCTTTATAAAGAGGAATATTTTTCATCAAAAACTGAAAGTTAAAATATGCTTTTTTCAATGCTCTGATAAGTTGTATTTCTAAATTGTGGTGAAAAAGGCATTAACATAACACTGACATTCATGTAGTGAGAAAAAAGTAATTAATGAATCAACAGGAAAAATGTACTGAAGTGAGAGTGAAATGGAGCTATTGGCCTGTGCACTTTCTCACACAGTTATATTTGACAAAAACATCTTAAATATTGTATTTTCTTTGGATTTTACCCAGAATTTTTCAGTCCATAGTGATCCAGTAAAACATTGTTCACTTATCTATTTTGCTTATCTGAGATTTACGGGCCCACTCTGTAAAAGTTACACTGTTGTGGGGAATTTGGGATCCTGGCCTGGATTTTATCCTAAAGTAGAAAAAGAAAGGTAGAGATCTGTGTGTGGGTTGGTGGGAGGAGAGAGTCTCCATGCTGGCCTTTACCATCACTGTGGTAATGAAAAGAGCATTTCCTTTATTCATCCCTCATGCTCTATTCTTAACATCTATGAATAAATAAAAAACCCTTTTGGAAGGCATATAAATAACAAAAACTTCACGAAATGCACATGGGGAACATGTGTGTGAAATGCTTTTTCATCTTTCTCTTTGCTAATGCCCATGAGCATGTTCTCTCTCCAACAAAGGGCAGTGGAATTTCCTCTATAATTACACTTCTCTGAGTCCAGGAGCAGCTGCACAAGTGTAGCTTTTGGGAGGTGCTTGAGACTGGAGCAAATAAACAGTGAGGTGGAGGGGAACTCATTGCCCTTCTCCAGCACTCTGAGACATGACAGATTATTCCACCTTCCTGTTATCAAAATATAACACATTTTGCAAGATGCTATTACTAAAACAAGACAACACTTACTGTAGCTTATGACAAGTCTTAACTGCAAACTCCTTCTGAGGGCCACGTTCATTATGACTCATGTCATGTCTATATAATTTTAATCTTATCTGTCTGAGAGAAGCTATCTCTCTTCACAGAACAGCTGAGAAGACAGCTGTAAAGTCAATGATAAGTTCATCAGGAAAATAGATAAAAAAGTGGTTTTTTCCAAGGTATATTGTAAAAAAAACCCCAACAACAACAAACAACCCAACACAACCCAGAACCTAGAATTAATTTAAATATACAGGTGTGAGATAGGGAATCAATAGCTTCCCACAGTGATGGATTCAAGGATCAGCAATTGCTTAGAACATCAGGCTATTTGTGTCAGTCCTGACTCTTACATTTCCCTTGTTGTTCCACAAAAACTGTGGTCCCTCAGCCTGGAGGACCAGTTCAGTTCTGGAGGTCTGGACAAGGAGCCTTGACTTTCTTCTGCTTCTGCTGCAGTGTCATGACTTATGGTATCTCTGTTTTCATAAGGAATATTCTTCTTGACCAATTAAAACCACGGGCAGAAACAGCTCATAATAATTAATCAGTGGGTCATAACACAGTACTTTAATTAACTTTATTTTTTCTATAGCATTGTTGGGGATTGGCTGATCTGAATAGATGTGACTGCTGTGGGTGACCAAATGCTTTTGCAGGGTTAGAATAAACATGGTCTGCAAAGCATGAAGGGTAGGAAACAGGTGTCAGCTCTGCAGTGCTCCTCTATTACACAAATACGAGGGGCTGTAGGGAGTGAAGGTGAAAATGACACATCAAGCTGATGATTTATTCAGTTTCCCTACCCAGTGGCTTGGAAAGAACCTTCCCTTTATGTGTTGCCACAGGCAGGTCCTGGTCACTATTTAAGCCCAGAGGAGGGGGAAAGAGTGCTGAAAATTTACCTAAATATCTCTCACTAAAAATTTCTGAAATCCTGTGACATTGGAAATACAACATAGACACTGACATGGGCAGGATGGCAGTCAAACAGCAATGCAAAGAGGAAAATTGTGATACTCCAAATTTCACCACAGAA